TGAGCTATTTTCTGCCTCTGTGAGGCCCGATTGAAGGGCAATGAGGCAGCTAATGCGGAGAAAGATAGAAATTTACTTGCTTTAACTTCATATGGCACTCTGAAAGAGTTCATTCAGGCCCGGGCACAACAATATCAGCCGGATGAATAAACCATTTGCGGCATCGATAGCTCTGCATCATGGTTTACTTCATGGACCATTTGCTTCCAATTTCTTCTCTTCTTGCCCCGTTTTTCTTGCTGCTTTCTCCCCCCCTCCTCCCTTTTCCACACACTCTTCCTTCTTCCCCCTTCCTCCCCTCTCTCCCCTTTAAAGATGACATTGCAGGACGAGCCCCCCTGCGGGGCCGGATAAATAGGAGGCATTGATACACTGCAACAAACTATTTGTCATTTGAACTGTGCTTTTAGGAGGGAGAATAAAAAGCGGACAGCCGCGCACCGTAATGATGGAATGCAAGCCAAATGTCACTTTTATTTCTATTTAGTTATTTTATTTAATAGGGGTTTTCATAGTTGCCTTAGAAAATTGGAAACTGCCTGACTTTGACTTCCAATGTTTAGTAAAGAGTTTTTAATACTTTCTGGTTTTCTTCCCCCCTCCCCTTCTTGCTGCTCCCCCCTCCAGCCTCGTCTTTCCTTTTGAACTCCAAGTTTTTCATCATCTCCAGCGGGTTTCTCCGGCTAATCAGTATGATCAGGGCTAGGAGAGGCCGGGCGCTGCCGAATGGAAAAGCCGCAGTCTGTGTCGTCCCGCTGGGATGCGCGAGCTGGCGCCTGCTGCTTAAATACAGGGAAAGGGGCAAAAATACGATCGAGCAGAAACTCCCGGGACGGTTTGCTGGCATGCATGGTTTCCTGGGAATAACCCCAGTGGGAGTTATTAACTCCCTGCGGGACTGTCCGTGTTCAAGGCTGCCAATCTCCCGGGAGTCTCATTGGGCTCTAGCACCTCCTGGGGTGTCCAGAGGCCAAACCAGGTGGGACAGGTTGGCAAGACCAGGCTGGATACCCAGTACTGGTCCGAATAGTGCCTTTTGGCTATTTATTGGATAGGAAAATTGAAAATCTCTCTAAAAGAAGTTCGTTTCCCTGCTTTGAATTTTAGATGAAAATTTTTGCAGAGAAACTAATTTTCCCTCAAAAAAAGACAAAAAAAATCAATCACATATTTTTTTTTCTTAGCCTATTTCCTACCTGTTTTCTACCTTGACCTTTTTTTCCTCACTGGAAGGGAAGAGAAGGGGGAGGAATTGAAAGGAATAAAGTTTCTACTTTAAAAAGGAGAGATAAGGCAGGGGAGTCCTGTGCAGAGCCCAGGGCTCCAGCTGCCTGGGGTTTTGCAGGAAAATGCCTCTTTATTGCCCTTGCAGTAGAGTGTGGGTTTGGGGAAAGGCCCCGTGTGCCATATGTGAGTGTGCAGGTGTTTTACCCTGAGATTTCCGGGTGTTTTTGGGGTCTATCTTGAGGTTTGTGCTGCCCTTGGGTCAGTGCCCGGTTGGGAGCAGAAAGCAGCAAGGCTTCAGCTGTAAACGGAGCCCCTTGAAGCTACTGAAATATTTGAACATCCCAGATTAAAAAAACAAGGGGAGAGTCTTGCTGATCTGTCCACTTAAAAGCAAAGGGCAATAGTGCTTTAAAAACTTCCTAATTTTGGAAAATGCAGGAAGGTTCTGGGGACAGCGTATGTGGCTTTGGGTGATTTCCATGCATGCCAGGGTGTTGGGTAGCTCTTTTTGTGATTTCTACCTCCTCGCATGGATCCCAGGGGATGCAGGCAGGTGCTCTGTGTCCCGTTTGGCTCTCGCATTCCCAGATGATGGAAGCATTTCAGGACCAGCGCATGCCGGGCATCCATGCATGGATGCCAGAGAGGGGGCCATGCTAAATTGCCAAGCTCCCTCGGCATTTCACTTTCTGGGACAGAAAACCTATTTTTTATTTTCCTCCTCTTCTGGTACGTGCTTCATTTGCAGCAATTCGCTGCTGTCACCCCAGCTTCCACTGGGCCAGGTCTAAAAGAGATAAGATGCCTCTTTAAATCTGGAAAAAAAATATATATATATACATAAAGGTTGATGCATTCTGAAATGGGTTTTTTGCTTTGTTGCTCTATTTTCCCCCCGTGCGTATTAACCTCGGGGACACCATAAAAGAGCCCATGCGACGAGAGCACCTGCTGGGGTCAGGCCTCGTCATTAGTTTTTTCGGTCAGCGCGGAATGAGGCGCGCGGGGCCGGGGCGCGCGCGTGCGCGGGGCCGCCTCGCTCCGCCAAAGTCGCACTTTTTCCTGCCTGACTTGCTTCCCCGCAGCTATTCCGCCTCCAGCTGTGGGGGCGTCAAAGGAAAAGATGAGATCAAGTTGAGGGGAAAAATTGTCTGATTTCTCTAGCCCTTTGTTCGCGGGCCCCCGGGAAGCTCCGGAGCGCCTCGGTGCCGGCCCTGGAGCGGGATGCGATCCGTGGGGTGGGATGGGTGGCACGGCAAGGGTGGGTGGACACGGTCCCATGGGCTTGGGGATGATGTTCCTGCGGGGTTAGGGGACGTGGAGCCATGGGGTTTGGGATGATGTTCCTATGGGGTTGGAGCTGCTGTTCCTGTGTGGTTGGGGACATGGTGCCATGGTGCTTGGGGATGCTGTGCCCACGGGCCAACCATCTCCACACTTTTCTTTCCTTCCAGAATCCAGCTCCCCCCGGGCTCTACACGAAGACCTGTGATCCGGCCACGGCTCCGGACACCCCAGACACACTGGAGATCGAGTTCAAACAGGGTAAGTGCTTGCTTCGCAGCAGCCTTTTCCCCATGCAGGCTGAGACCATCCTCATCCTCACAGCTCTGGCTGCACCCATTCCCATGGACCGATTCCCATGACCCAGCAAGGCCACCAGGCAGACCACGCGTGGCTGTCCCCAAGGTGGGCACCACCTGGGATGTCCCCAGGGCACCTTCCCCACCACACGAGGGCCTTTCCCGACCCCATCGGGAGCTTCGGCAGCTCCATTTTCCCAATCCTCCCCATGGACGAGGAGACCGTCCCCTGCGCCCCAGCCAGCCCCCGAGTTAATTTATTTGAAGTTTTAATCTAATTATTACCCATTTTCAAGGCTAAGCAGCTTTGGGCAGCGGCGGCCCCGACAATGCGGGCTCCGCGCCGGGTGGACGGCGGCCAAGACCGCGCGAAGGCCGCGCGCAGAAAGAGCCGGCCCGAGGGGCGGCCCGGCCGCGCAGCGGCTTAAGGTTCATTATTGCCGCGACTTACATTTAATAGCAATTTACAACCGAGATGATTAAAAAAAAAAAAAAAGGTTTGGGGGGGGGAAATAGGGGGTTTAGGCAATGGGGGGACCCCGCCGGCGGCCGCAGCTCGAGCGGGCGCCTCTGTGATAAAGCCTAGAAAGGGAGGCATTGAGGCTGAGTGGCAAGCGCCGGCGCGCGGGATGGTAATGAGCAGGGCAGATGGAGGGGGATTAGCCTCCGGGTCCGCGCCGCTTTTCTTTGTGGGCCCCGCAGCCCCCTTGTCAGCTTCCTAATACATTTATTGCTCATTTCACACCGCTAAAGAAAATGCCTCTTTCTATTCAGGGCTTTTTTTTTTTTTTCTCCTCTCTAATATCAGAGGTATAATTTCCAAGATTAAATGTTGACATTACTATGGTATGTGCTAAATATCAAAATTTTGGGCAAGACATTTACATCTTGACCTCAATGGTAAAAGCATGTGAATAATTTGAACCTCTACTTGGTATCTAATAAGCAAAGAACTTGTTAGCTCTGTTTACATGGATGTTAGAACTAAATGAGCTCTAAAGAAAATATGACAATATTTTAAATAACACACATGCCACACGAACATTGGGGTTGTGGTTGCCTAAAGATTCAGCTTGGAAATACAGTTCAGCCATTTTGAAATCTTTCCTGCAAGCATCACATAGTTGTGTGCTGATGCAATACTGATTTTCTTTTCTAGTCATGTAGCAGGCATAACAGCTGATGTAGGTTCCAGCTTAATGTTTTCCACAAACCCACAATGAGAAATAGGTTTGCATGCATTTTTTATTAGGTGGTTCAAATTAGTAAGTGCCGCGGGCGAAGCCAGGGCGTCCCCGCGCGCGGTGCAGGTGACACCGGCTCAGGCAGGACGAGGCCCGACGGGGACATCGCGCAGTAGGGTCCGCCTGGCACATTCCCATGTGTTCCCACGTTCCCCGCTTAGCGGATGAACCCAAACTCCAACAAATTGCACCCTTTGGGGCCAGCTCATTTCTCCCACTTTGTCATGCTGGATGAGGGGACGGCAGGGTTGGGACACGGCCCTGGGACACGGCCGTGGCCTCGGCTCCGGAGCGGGCATCCACCGGGCCGCCGCTCATCCCGCCCTCGCCGAGCGCCGCGCGGCTCCCCGGTGCCGTCCTCCTTTGTGCCTCCGCCTTTATCCCCCCGGAGCTGAATGGGAATGAACTTTTCCATGTAGTTCTCTTTTTAAATGTTAATTAAGTGGTTTTAAAATGACTTCAGCCATCATGAATACAGCTGCAGCAGCGCCCCGTGTCCCCCCCACCGTCGCTTTGCCCGATTCGTTCTCTGGTGGCCACCAAGCCCTGGCTGAACGTCCCAGGTGCTACACGGGCAAGGGAGGGAGGCTGGCACTGGTGACAAAAGAGGGACAAGGAGAAAAAGTCCTTCTGTGTCACCCATCCAACCTGGCTGACCCAGACAGCATCCCCAGAATGATGTTGGTACTTGCTGACTTGGTGTTGGGACAGCTTTTCCCATCTGTGTAGGGTGGCAGCCATTTGGTCACCATGTCCTAGGTGACCAAATGGCTTTTCTGGGAGGCCTGTGCCGTGCTGCTGGTGCCCAGGGCTTACCAAGAAAGGTGCTTCTCCCACAGGGGAGAAAAGAAGGTGTTCAGATGACAGAATCACTGCCGACGCTGGTCGCGGTGGAGCTGCTTGTGGAGTGTCATTTTTGGGTTGATTTCCCCAACTTTTGTGAGGGTTTGGGGTATGCAGGGTGCCAGCTGCTCCTTTTCTCCCCGCAGAGGCAAGCACGGCGTCGGGCGGATCGACATCGTGGAGAACCGCTTCATCGGGATGAAGTCCAGAGGTGAGCGGCACCTCCTCCCCGCCTGGCCAGGCAGGACCAGCAGCCCTGGGCTCCTCCTCTTTAATTAGCATCAAGATTTTGCTTTTGAAGGGACTTTCCATTGACCTTGCTCATGAAGGTGATTTTGGAGGCCCTGCCAGTGTCTCAGTTGGCGCCAAGCCTGGGGTCACATCGTCACTCGGGTCACCAGGTCCCCTGCAAACTCCTTCCCCTTCAGGTCTTGCAATGGGAAAAATTTTGGGTTTGACTCGATGCCTCCAGCTCCCAGGATATTTACCAGACCTCCAAATCCTCACGCTTCTCCTTGAGTCCCAGCTTGCAGAATGAGGGGAATGGGAGGGACCCAGCTCACTTTGGGCAATACTCTTTTAAGGTCCTTAATAGTGTAAAGAATAACAGAGGTATAAAGCTTAGGCAAACACAACTCACTGATTTTTTTTTTCCTTAAAGCCAGTTCTTTGATTAATTGATATATCTATGCAGTTATTTGTGCTCTTGGTATTGATCATCCATTAGGGACCAGCTTAATTGAAAATCTCCCGAGGAGCAGCAGCCCCATTCAGCGCTCTGCAGCGCCGGGGCTCCTAATCGTCCCCTCTCCGTGTCCCCGCGCTCTTCTGTTTTAAATCTCGTTAATGCCTAATTAGATGCTCCCTTTCTTTAAACTTGCCCTTTGTGGCAGGGCGCGAGCAAATATTGTGATAACACCTCTCAGCAGCGCGCAGCCCCCCGGCTCTCCCTCCCCACCATGGGGCCCAATGGGCTGCTTGGAGAGAGCATCAGCCACAAAAGGACAAAAAAACCCAAACCCCCCAATCGTTTGATCCGAGTCTGAATAACTGAATTAAAAAAAGGAGAAAAAAAAAAAAAAAAACCCTCCCGAGCAGCACATGCTTGTGCGCAACCACCCGCTGCATTTGCGTGCAGGATGCTGAGTAATTTGTCAAAATCCCTTTTTTTTAAGGAGCCGGTGACATGCTCTAGTGACCCTTGCAGCATTTAATAATTTCTCCCAAGCCCATTTAACTGTCACGTTTGTCTCCCGCGTGTCACCGTCAGGCGCGCTCGCTGCGGCGGCGGCAGCTGGTGGCTTCGTGGGGACGGGGACGGAGCGCGAGATCGGCGGCTCCCTGTTCTGTTGAGGAGAAACTAAGGCACGGGGGGCTTTTCCAATGCAATAGGGATTTGGGGCATCCTTCCAGCCCCCTCGTCGGCTGGCACATTGTGCCCCCCATGTGACAGTCCCCGCTCAGCGCAGCGGGATGGCGCGGACGGAGGGGGCGG